TAAGAACTTTTAAATGCTTCATACATGTAATGATGCTTCCAAGCCCTCAAACCTTCACCATTTAAAGGCCAAAATTTTAGCCATTACTTGGCACAATACAAAATCATAAACCCTATTTTCTCAATTGTGTGCATGTATGTGTGTGGGGAGGGGCTTATCTGTAGAAGACCTTAATTATTATCAATTGTTACTACTACTGTGTCAGATTTCTCTAGCCTTCACTTTTCTAATTACTTAAAATGCAAACTCAGATAACCAAGGTTAAATTTATGCAAGCAAACAACTATCAGTAAGAGTAGATTCTGCTTTTGCTCACAGTATGGGTAAAATAATTACCTTTCTAACTAAATAGCTGATAAAATTTAATATATTGGCTAGTCTATAGTATACACTTCATCAGTTTAAACACCTGTTTGATTTCAGATTCTCAGTTCTAACACCAATGGTTTAAATTAACAAAGCTCCAACCTTTCTTTAGTGTCAAATTATTTTTTGTTTGTTCAATATTCTATTTTTGTATCATGATCATCATTTTATAAACCAAAGGCTTTCCATAAATGAATTCCTTGAAACTAAACACAGTCACACTAGACATGCTTAATTTCAATTCATTCTAGTGTTGTTAAGGGAAGGCATTAAGTTCAGGGCAATACAGGCCACTCCTTTTGCCCTCAGTGGTTTCTATGACATACCTCCTGACTACAAAAGTTCAGTGTCTTAATCATTTTGAAGTCTTTATACATTTATAAGTCCTGTGTTTAAATAATCACAAGAAAAAAATTTTAAAGCTAAAGAGAATGAAACCAACTTTAATTTCAAATATATTTTAAGGTCATGAAAAATTTCAGGGTCAAAAAAAACAAAAAAAAACTACAGCACACCTTAACTTTTCTAAATACTGCTTTCTTACAAATCAGTGTTTGTAGGAATTTCTTCAATGCCTAAAACATTGAGGTGAAAGTAAATAAATAAGTCCATTTTCAGCACTTGACATCCATTCTGAATCATATTTCAATGAATCCCAACTATAAATCTCAAAACCTGCTAGGCACACTGGCTTATGCCTGTGATCCTAGCACTCTGCGAGGCTAAGGATGGAGGAACCCTTGAGCTCAGAAGTTCAAGATTAGCCTGGGCAAGACCACGCTCTATTAAAAATAGAAAAATTAGCCAGGTGTTGTAGCAGGTGCCTGTAGTTCCCACTATTCCAGAGGCTGGGGCAGGAGGATTGCTTGAACCCAGGACTTGGGAGGTTACTGTGAGCTAGACTGATGCCATAGAACTCTAAGATGGGGGACAGAGTGAGACTCCTATCTCAAAAAAGAAAAAAAAAAAAAAATCTCAGAGAACACAGCTAAATTTCTGAAAGACAAAGAAATCTAGACAGATGACCTTGCATAGTTTTTGTATTATTTTCTTATTATATGGATTTCCATAATGAAATCTCATTTTAATTTCTACTATTCTATTGGAAGTGAATACTAGTAAAATTTTAAACTACTGATCAATTTTTACAACTAATTTTAACTTCCCCATAAGATATCTGAAGATAAATTACTAGAGTTCAGAATTCTTGTTTGATATGTCAAGTAAACATTATTAACACAGTGAATTAAATGAAATTAAAGGAAAGAATGTTTAAGGAAACCTAAGGATGGCCCAATTACGAGACCAAATACAGACACTTATTCCTAATCCTGAAATTCAAAGTAAACCACATCACCTCTATTGTAAATAGAAGATTGAGAAAATGAAAGATCTTCATTAGTAATGATGGGACAAAAAAGAAAAACACTGGTGAATTTGAAATCTGATTCTACTTGCCAAAGCACTTAAGTATTTCAAAATGTATCTAATTTTTGGCCAGGCACAGTGGCTCACACCTGTAATCCTAGCACTCTGGGAGGCCAAGGCAGGTGGATTGCTTGAGCTCACAGGTTTGAGACCAGCCTGAGCAAGAGTGAGACCCCATCTCTACTAAAAATAGAAAAACTGAGGCAAGAAGATCACTTCAGCCCAAGAGTTAGAGGTTGTTGTGAGCTATGATGCTAGGCCACTCTACCCAGGGCAACAGCTGGAGACTCTGTCTCCAAAAAAAAAAAAAAAACTCAGTAATAAAAGATTGAAATTTTACTTTAAAGCCTAAGTGATTTTGCTAGCTAGCTTTCTCTAAAAATTTATAGTGAGGAATTTATTCATAGATTGTCTTATTGTTATTATTCAACTTAAAGGTTTACTGACCTTTAAACTTTTGTTTAAATAATATAACAACTCTTCCCCACCCCACCCAGCATCACCATTTGTGGTAGTAATACAGAAGATAAATAACTCCTAAGTTCTTCTGAAAAATGATATGGCTTCAACAAAATGTTTATGCAAAAAGAAGAAAAACTATCACATTCAAGAAAGGTACTGACTGCAACACTATGTACGTTACCAAGGATTTTCAACTTAAAAATATTCAACAAAGGCTCAGCTCCCAGCCACATGCACCAACTAAACAATGACAACCGCAACAACAACAACAATAAAAAGATAGCCAGGTGTTGTGGTGGGTGCCTATAATCCCAGCTTGGGAGGCTGAGGTAAGAGAATGGCTTAAGCCCAAGGGTTTGAGGTTGCTGTGAGCAGTGACACCATCGCTCTCTACCAAGTGCGAAATAATAAGACTCTGTTTCAAAAAAACAACAAAGATTAAAAATATAGATTAAATTTACCACTGCCTATTATGATTAAATATATACACAGCCTACAAAGCTAGCAATTCCATGGCTAGATATCCTAGAGTAGCAGTTCTCAACCTGTGATTCATGACACACAGGAACTGTGTCAAAGGGCCGCAGCATTAGGAAGGCTGAAAACCACTTCCCTAGAGAAACCTGGAAATGTACGTTAGGGTAAAGCTTATAGTTGTGTCTAAGAACTACTAGGAGGTATAAGAAGAGATGGAGAACCATATTTATATATTCTAATTTTCTTAGAGAAAAATATGGACTCAGATTAAGTTGCTGAAGTTCACAATTATGTGTTCACCAAACACAATAAAAAGAACCCAAATTTAAACCTTCCATCCATCCAGCAATCCTGCTTCTTTACCCAAAGCAAAATCTCTTTTAAAAACAATTTAATCACAAAACAACCGAGGTGCACTGAATTCAACATAAGATAAAATCTTTAGTTGTGTAGCACAGAACAATACATGTTGTTTCATTAATCACTAATCCTACAACCACACACAGATTTATCAAGCTCATTAACTCAGCAAAACTCAAAGTACTTTTCCCCAAAAATACATTTTTATGTATCCTTAGTATTCATTCTTATCAAAGACCAGTTTAGGTCTTCATTCATTCATTCATTTTTTTTCTTCTTGGAGACACAGTCTCACTCTGTTGCCCTAGGCAGAGTGCTGTGGCATCATAGCTCACACCAGTTTCAAACTCCTAGGTTGAGTAATCTTCTTGTCCCAGCCTCACAAGTACCTGGGACTACAGGTGCCCACCACAACAAGCAGCTAGATTTTTCTGCTTTTAGTAGAATGGGGTCTGCCCTTTGCTCAGACTGGTCTCAAACTACTGAGCTTAGGCAAACCACCTGCTTTGGGCTCCCAGAGTGCTAGGATTAGAGACCTAAGCCACCCACTACACTTGGCCTAGGTTTTAACTAAATTGAAAGGGGTTTTTGGTTTGTTTGTTTTGTTTTGTAGAGACAGAGTCTCACTTTAAGGCCCTCCATAGAGTGCTGTAACGTCACAGCTCACAGCAACCTCCAACTCCTGGGCTTAGGCAATTCTCTTGCCTCAGCTTCCTGAGTAGCTGAGACTACAGGTGCCCTCCACAACACCTGGCTATTTTCTTTTTAGAAACAGTGTCTCACTTTGTCATCCTCGGTACAGTGCCGTGGCGTCACAACTCACAGCAACCTCCAGCTTTTGGGCTTAGGTGATTCTCTTGCCTCAGCTTCCCGAGTAGCTGGGACTACAGGAACCCGCCACAATGCCCAGCTATTTTTTTTAGCAGTTTGGCCGGGGCCGGGCAGTTTGGCTGCCACCCTCATTATATGGGGCTGGCGCCCTACTCACTGAGCAATAGGTGCCGCTCAACACCTGGCTATTTTTAGAAATGGGAGTCTTGCTCTTGCTAAGGCTAGTCTCAAACCTGTGAGCTAAGGGGCAATCTACCCACCTCAACCTCATAGAGTGCTAGGATTACAGGTGTGAGCCACTGCGCCCAGCCCCTAGAGCAAAAAATTTTTACTTAACAATTTATAACAATAGGGCTTATAATAAATTAATATTTATTTCAAAGTATTTGGCCCAAATTAAGTCAACATAATACATTGAAAGCCCAAAATGTCCTATTTCTTAATCATTCACAATCTATGAAGAACTTCAATAATGTCTTTAACTTAGAAATTAATTCATACTAAAATTAAAAACAGGAGTTAGAAAATGAAGCTCTAAATTCACTTCTGCCTCTTAAGCTATGAGATCTTGGCCAAGTAACAGAGCATAAAATCCAAGTTTTCTCATCTGTGAAATGGAAGGACACTACTACATCTATTTGCTCTAGTTATTCCAGAAGGCTGATATAAGGAAGAAATCTAATAACCTATGTGAAAATTCTATGAAAAACATAAAACAAAAAGCAGATATAAAGTGTTATTAGAAGTAAACATATTATCCCAAAAGGATCAAGTATACTAAAGATAAATTATTGCATTTCTACCAGAAAATAGTAAGTTTGATCTGTTCTTCCTGTATGGTGATTTACTTTTTTTTAAAGTATTTATTTAAAATTTCTGAAGTATGAAAGAATAAAAGTCTGAATAAAAGCAATAACTGACAAAATTTGACCACAGGGAAAGTTGTCTAAAATAGGAAGAAAATGTATTACTGTGAAATAAAAGGCTTATCGACTCTTTAGGTAGAATGCAATCAAGCTAAGGAAATAAAATATGTTAATGTATCAAATGGGATTAATACTTATTCTCAGACTTACCTCTGCCCATTTAAGAATACAGGTCATACAGAACACATGATTGCAACTTTCTGGAAAACCAACTTCCTTCTCTACCAGGCAATTAAGACATATTGGACATCTGTCAGCTTCACTGTACAAAGGACCAGTGGTAGCAATATCATCTCTATTTTCTTCACCTGTAAAGAAAAACAGCAATATGTGCTTTCAAGTTCTCCAGACTAAATGACTTGTTCCTGGGAGTACAGTGAACCAGGTAGTCTAAAGGGCTCTCCTACCACAAAGCAAATTAGATCTTATATAAATTAAAACAAATACACACCTTGAGCCAGAGACCCCCAACATTTACTTTCTTATAGTTTTTAATGGAGAAATAAGACAAACTTTTCTTTTCTTTTTTTTTTTTT